AATCTGGTATTTAATTAAGCGCCGTATCGTCAGTCGTTCTACAGTTGTAGGATGCCGTAATGGCCACCTTGATTTTCATAGTCCTTTCCCTGCCTCAGAATGGCTGGGGCGTTTCTATATTTCTACTGTTCCGTGTCAGCGTCAGCGCTCTCCTATTGTGAGGAAGCGCATTCTTTTTGAACTGTATGAAATTTCAGGCTGATATAACACATGATATAAGTCAAAAGGATGAACAATTTGATGCAAACAGATACTTGCAACATAACCTCAAAATAGAGCGCTGACACGGAAAGTAGAAAACGTCCATAACAGTTGTAGGAACGACTGACGATACGGCCCTAAGGCGCGTCACATATGTAACAGAGGCTACTCATAAAGTATGATTAGTAGTAGGCCATTCAGACCTTAAAAAGAAGTAAACTTGGTTTGTAACGAGTGTATGTTGATTATAGGATGTAAGTATGCACAGTAGCTTTGTTACATTAAATGCCTAAGCCTCCTACAAACATGCGTACATCTTTGCGTCCGATCTTTATATTTTTTTAGAGAGCTACCGAGTTACGTGGAATTACTTGTAGTGGTAAACCTACAGAACCAGCAATCACCTGACCGTAAAATAGTAGTAGCAATAGTGGTATATACTCAAGGACGTGTTTTGTGAAGTCAAATTGTTAGCTAAACGAAACCTTGAGGTAATATATTAACAATAAGTAGACTTCCCCGAACATTGAAATAAGGAGAGGCTTTGAAATTAACGGCTGTACAAGGTAATGAGGAGGACTCAAATGGAACCAGGCCGCACAACTCCCCTGTCATTCCCATATAAGAGCTGCTGTTTAAGCACGTAGCCAAACTTTATAAGATAATGTTTTGAGTAATTTTAAGATGAAAAGCTCATATAACAATAGGTAAAGAAATGCTTCACTTTCGAGATACAGCGTGTCAAACTTTTCGTAAAAAATCGGGTTTTCCTAAATACTCGTATCTTAATAAACTTCCAGTCGATTTTGTTCAAATTTTGCAATGGTATTCAGTTCAGTGAACGGCTAATTTGGCCCTAATTAGATTGAAATTATTAAGTCCAGTGGGGTCCAGAAAAACACCCTAACCAACATCTTTGACAAAAATTTTGTGCGTCACTGACTTTTTTTTGGTTTTTCTACTTCTTTTTTTTAATCGAGCAGCTGAAAGTACAACTTTGTTTTTTGTCTCTTGAGTTATCTTCATATCTCACTTCGTTTGCGCGGGTAAAAAATGAAAGCCACTTTATTGCATGTTTTTGATAATTAAGGTTAGATTATACCTGCTTCCGATAAAACAAATGAACATAAAATATTTACATGACATTATTTATTGTTGCAATGTTTTTCCAGTGGCGTTGCACATTGGTAACGCTGGAAATTAAAAAAAAGAATCGAACGTCTTTTTAAAACTACGCTTAACCTTTTATCTCAATTAAAACATTTAACAGAAAATATCACGAGACATAATAGTTGCTGAAAATATCCTCCTTCAACCTCAATGCAAGCATTAGCTCTTCTTTGCATTCATTGCCGAACTAGTTGAATTTTTTTTTTTTTTATATCGAAACAGCCGCGCAGGCAGAAGCCTAAATGCCGAAACACCGCGGCTGCTATGATGATCCCAAAGAAATTTTGTTAATACGATTTTTGAACTGCCTAAGGTTAGTAGAACTGGGAAAAGCTTCCTCCCGTAGATTGTTCCACAATCTAGACACCCTCGGGACAAAGGAGCGGTCGTATCGGCCAGTTCTGGATGTACAAAGTTTGACACGGTTAGGATGGGACGCCGAACTCAGGCGGGTCTGTCTGGCAGGCACATCGCGCGGCGGCATGATGGAAGAGAGCTCTGAGGAGCAAAGCCCGTTGGTGTAGTGATAGAAAAGAGCCAGATCGCCGACGGCCCGCCGGTGCGAAAGAGTCCCGAGACTGTCTGTTAGGAAAGAGTCATCGATCAGTCGGACCGCCCTCCTCTGGACAGCATCGAGCATGGACAATGTAGTCGGGACGGCAGCACCCCAAATGTGTGAGCAATACTCGAGGCTAGGCCTTATCTGGGCCTTGTATAGAGTGAGAAGGTCATGCGGAGAAAGGTACTTCTTAGCCCTAAACAAATAGCCTAGCTTTTTCCCAGCAGCTGCAGCTATTGAAGAGATGTGTTCGTGCCAGATCAGGTCCTCGGTGATCTGGACTCCGACCAGCCGAAATGAATGGCTCTTTGGTAGAACTCGACCGTCCATCGAAACTGTATGAGCGCTAGGACGCTTTTTGTTCGTCAAAGTACAGTACTGTGTTTTGGAAGCATTGAACTGTACAAGATTGTTGCGTCCCCAAGCAGTGATAGCCTCCAGGTCTCTTGTCAGAGAAGAAGTCGTCGCTAGTCTTCTTTTTTCCAGCTCAGCGGCAGAGATCGGCTTGTCACTCTGAATCCCTGCATGCAGAGTGCTGTCATCAGCGAAGCTGTGGATTGGGTTGATCGTGCAGGAAAGGAGGTCGTTGATATGTAAGAGAAACAGTGTTGGAGCCAAGACCGACCCCTGGGGAACACCCGCGTTGATGTTGTGGGATGAAGAGGAGAATCCGTCAATTACGACGGATATCTTGCGGCCAGAGAGAAAGTCAGCCACCCATCTGCAAAGCTTTTCTGGGAGGCCGTAGGATGGAAGTTTGCTCAAGAGGGCAGCGTGCCACAGCTGATCGAACGCTTTCGTGATGTCAAGAGCAACGACATGAGCCTCACCATGAGACTGGATGAGTTTACTCCACAGTTGCGTGACGTAAGCTAGGAGGTCCCCTGTGGATCGTTGGTGCCGGAAACCGTACTGCCTGTCGCTAATCAAGCTGTGACGTTCGAGGTAGTCCAGAAGCTCGCGATTTATGCACCTCTCCATCACTTTACTTATAACAGAAAGCAGAGCTATAGGCCTGTAGTTGTAAGGGTCGGTTTTAGATCCTTTTTTTGGGATGGGCTGTACATGAGCAAATTTCCAGTTTTCTGGGAAGGTGGCGGATTCATAACATATCTGGAAGAGACGCGAAAGAACTGGAGCAAGCTCAGCTGCACATCTCTTCAGTACAATGGCAGGAATCAAGTCCGGACCAGAAGCTTTGTTGGTGTCGAGCGACAAGAGCACTCGTCTTACGGTCTTATGCCTGAATGTTACCTCCCGCATAGTGTGGGGAACCCTTTGAATTGACGGCACTTGGGCGTTGGTGGGGACGTCCATGGTGGAGTTGGCAGCAAAGATCTTGGCTAGCACTTCCGCCTTGGCCTTTGAGTCGAATACAATAGTTCCGTCCTGACACGTAAGTGGTGGAAAGCTACTGTGTGAGAAGTTATTTTCAATCTGCTTGGCCAGCGTCCAGAATGACCGACTGCCATTGCGCTGCGACATTACCCTGTGCCTAACTTTTATATCATGCTGGGTTTTGGCAAATATTTACGGCGTATGTCTTATCTGATTATATGAATCTCGTATCCGTTGGGTTGACTCTTCTTCAGTGTTGACTGGAGGGACTTCAAGTGCCCCCAAAGAAAAAATCTAACGGGTTTAAATCCGGTAACCTGAGTGGCCATGACTGTGAACCTGCGCGTCCGATTCTGATCTCTCCAAAAGATGCATCCAAAAATTGGAGCTGCTATGCTGAAGTGAGGTGGAGCCCCATGGTGCGTAAACCATATTGCTCCTATCACTTTCAGCGGGACATTTTCTAGCAGTTCAGTTAAAATAAATGCCAAAAAATGACGATACTCTTGACCATTTAATTGTGGGGGTTGTTGATAATTATCTTCTATAACTGCATGTTAATTTCCTTTTGCCCAGATTTGATTATTGTAAAAATTCTAAATTTAATTTCGTAAAAAACACGTGCATCATCGGTAACCAACGGTATAGAAATAGAAACGCTGCCCGTTGTTGCAATGGCCAAGTACAATAAACGACTCGTTGGGAAAAAACGGCAAATAATAACGCTTGAACTCGCTTTATGTGGTACGGATACAGTTGATATTTCCTTAATATCTGCCTTACAGTAAAGAGAGAGATGTTTAATTGTTCTACAATTTTGCGTATACTTGTATCGAGGCTACGCTCAACTCCGTCGAAAACTGCTTCCTCCATCTCCACTGTTCTTACTGTGCCGCTCTAGAATTGCCTTGGGCCTTAAACAAAATGCATATCGGCAATTCCTGTGTTTGTAGATTGACGCATTTCCCAATATTAGTAATGTTACAGCTCAAGTCTTTCAAAAACACCCACAGATAATTCATCATTACTTACGCAACTGCTTTAAGTAGGTTATGTCAAACTGGAACTATTATTTTGTTCTTACTTTTAAATCATGGCTGTTATAAATTATTAATTACGTTATGCGATTATTTGGATTTAATGTTTTATTATGTTATTGTCCCAGGGACATGCAATAGAGCGCTTTTCATTTGTTATCTCGCAAATGAAGCGAGATCTGAAAGAAACTCATGAGACAAAAACAATGTATTTTAAGCTGCTAAATTCGAAAAAAAAAATATCAAATTGGAAAATTTAGTTGCGCTCAAACTTTTTGTCAAAGATATTGGTTGGAACATTCTCCGGGACGCCAGTGGACTTGTTAATTTTAATGTAATTGAGGTTTACTGTCCTTAATTCCACTACTAAGTTTAAACAAAATCTACTGAAAGTTTTTGAAGAAATATCCAGGAAAAACCAAATTTAAAAAAAAAACTTTGACACCCTGTATCTTTTCTTCCTAAAATTGCTCAAAGAATCACGTCCTGAAGCTTGGCCTCAAATCAATTCAGGTATTTTATGAAGGTGCTGAAGGATTGCCTGACCAATATTTTTCTCCCCCCACAGCATTTTCGAATGGTTGTTTTCAATCAGCGGACGTTGCAATGTTGTTTCACGTCTGCAGGGGGCTTCAGGCATGTGACAATCGCGAACCCCATTATGTGTAATTTGAAATGGTGGTGTGTGAACTTACCGCCTGCGGTTTTTTGTTGGGTCTAACGGGCGGTCTGTGCACCCCATTGATTTTGTTGTAGAGACCGCACGCGTTACACAGATAATGACCAGTGCCGTCTCTACGCCATAACGGGGTCACGCTCGCGCCGCAATTTACGCACTCTTTCACAAGTACCTCAACGGTGGCTGCGTTCGGGCCCCCTCCGTGCTGAAGGGTACGCTGCTGATCCTCAAGGGTAGCACTGCCCGCACTGCCCGACCACGTAGCGTTCACGTACGCCCCCCCTCCAGGTGCATACGGTTGTTGGTTGCTGCCGTCCCCCTGGTGGTGGATCGCCGAACTGCCGCCGGCTGGGAACTGCTGGTAAGCGGTGGTACTACTGGTCGAGGGCCAGCTCACGCCGTAGTAGGGCTCCGTCGTAGGGAGCATATGGGTTTGGACGTTTGCTGGTACTTCGAAATTAGCCTGTGGAACATTGTAAAACTGGCAACTGCAACTTCATACGACTAAAATTGTTAAAATGACTGATATTTTTATATCAATACGACCCCTGCAAGGAAGACTGTTGTAACTCAGTTTTGGTTCAACTGAGATACGGGCATTAGAAGATTTTCTGATAAATGTTGTTGTCAGAAAAATGACGATCTCATCAAAAATATGTTGCACATTGTAGTTATTTTTGTATATAGAAGGTTATAAATGGTATTACAATACAAACCTAGCGAAAATGACATTTTTTTTAATAAAGTTTGTTGACTTACTATTGTTTTCGTTGGATCAATTGAAGAAAAACGGACACATGCTCTTTAATGCGAATCAAATTATATTCATCATCGTGTTCTCCACTATCATCATTCTCAACTTCTGTATTTTCAGCACTGATATTATCATGTCCTCTTTGTATTTTTTTACCCTCCTTAGCTTTTAGAGAAGAATGAAAAGCAGGTAAGCCTCAGAAATGCTAGGAAGGCTGTTTGCTTTTGATTTACATATACTGACATATAAATCCGAACACCCACTTTAAATGGTTTTATTTTAATAAAATTTTGTATAAGTACTTAATGAAGCATAATAAGTAAATGATAAAAATTTCAAAATGATTGCACTGCTTTAAAGCCCTTTGACCTTTAATAATGTGAGGATGCACCCTGATGTGCTACGCATTCTCCAACGCGCCTAGGCATGCTTCTGATCAGGTGGTCAATGTCCTCCTGTGGTATCTCATTCCAGGCAACCACCAACTCCTCTCGAAATGCTTCTAGAGTCTGAGGAGGACGTTGCAAATTGAGCAATCTCCTACCCATCCTATCCCACTCGTGCTCAATTGGGGATAAGTCGGAAGATCTTGGTGGCCATGGTAACAATGTGACATCATTATGTTGAAAGAAGTCTATTGTGACTCTTGCAACATGTGGTCGGGCATTATCTTGTTGGAAAGTTGGATCTGCCAGGGTGTCAAGATAGGGTGAAAGATGGGATTCTAGAACTTCGTGGATATAACGCTGCGCGTTCATGTTACCTCTGATGAAGATTAAAGGTGACCTGGAACCATAAGCTATAGCACCCCAAACCATAACTCCAACAGTGTGATGAACATGTCTTTCAACAAAAAACTGTGGATTCCTCCTTTCACCACGTCGCCTTCTAACCCTGGCACGACCATAGTGCATGCCTAAACAAAATCGAGACTCGTCACTAAAGACAATACTGTTCCATTCCTGATCTCAGAGTGACCGTTGTCTGCACCACTCAAGGCGATTACGTCGGTGTTCTCGAGTTAAAGGGAGGACCCAGTGTGGCCGGTATGAAAACAAGCCAAAACTTCGCATTCGTCGTTAAACACTTCGCATGCCAATAGGTCTTCCGTGTTCTGCAAACCATTGATTTGCAATGGACCTGGTAGTGGAAAAACGGTCCCTTAAGGCAAATAATCTTAGGCGGCGATCTTCACGGTCTGTTGTTCTACGGCGGCGTCTAGTGCCCCTTGCTCTTTGCGTACAGCCTTCTCGAAGCCATGTCTGACAACACCTAACCACAGTGTCTACACTTCATTGCACTCTAACTGCAATTGCCCGAAAAAAAAGTCCAGCTTCCCGAAGTCCCACTATACGGCCCCTATCAAACTCACTAAGTTGACGAAATCGTACAGGTCTCCGTACTCTAGGCATCGTAACCGATCGTAAAGGATGTCAAGAACCAAAATCCGCCAACGTTGATTCTTTACTGCGGCTGAAATATTCATTTTTAGAGTGTTAGTGAATTAAAAAAAAGTAGTATAAAAACCGGAATGTCCAACTGATAAGGCTGAAAATTTTTTCACTTGTTATTTACAGTAAGATAAATAATACATTCATCAACTTTTATTAAAATAAAACCATTTAAACTGGGTGTTCGGATTTATATGTCACTTAGTATATTTCCGATAGACCATTTAAATCTACTGGAAGCAAGCTTGTGTACAGAAAAGGTAGTTCTTGGAGCGTACTGTTTTGCGGTCTCATTCTATGATAATCAATGTTACTATCGTGAGATCATCAGCCTAGTCCCTCTTATATTTCATTTCAGGAGGCACTTATCTTATTTATTTTCAACTTTTCTCCACAATCGTCTTTGTTCCAATTTCCCGATTTTACCTTTTGTTTAAATGTTAATGGATCCACGACCAACCGTAGACAGGGCTCTTAAGCCCTAATCAGTACGATATAGGTCTGTATCAGGTCCAGACTTGGAGATGAAAGGATGAAACGGAAACACGTGAGTGTCGTCTTTGCAAAGCCGAGGACTGTAGTAGTTGAATTCTCTGTTAAACTTTTTCAATTCACAGACATGAGAGAAACAGATTGTGATGCGTCAGACCCCAATGCATAACGTGCAGAAGAGGATGCTATGTTTGAAGCTTTTTGTTGTGTTAAAACAGTTAATCACTATTACTTGCCTGAATTTAACCGTTCAGCAACTGCAGTTAGCTTCTTTGCATCTGCCAGAATTATTTTGGTTCTTGAATTCATTTTAGTTCGCTTTGAAAACTGCTCTTTTCATACAGCTAATACTTGAAACGCTTTCGCTATTAATTACTGTAACTTTAAACTGTGCCGTGAAAATCATAGTAAGTCAGACAGTAGGTGTAACAGTAAGCTGGTCTTTCCGTGATTTTTTCCATCGAAGACTAAAGTAACTCAATTTATTTTTCGCGGGAGCAACCGCCACTATTATACTTACTATATGGCGTAGAAGATTCACTGGTTGCCTATAGTTGCATGACTGAGAAACCATATTCTTCCACCAAAGAGAACCCGATAAAGTCTATCGATACCATATAGTAAGTCAAAAGCAATAATTTTCAAGGCCCGTATCGTCAGTCGTCCCTACAATTGTAGGGCGCGTTTATGGCCTCCTTGATTGTCATACTCCTTTCTCTCCTTCAAAAATTTCTAGATTACACTTGTCCCGTGTCAGCGTCAGCGCTCTCCTATTGTGAAGATATGATTTCTCTTTAAATCGTAGGAAATTTCAGCCTGATAAAACATGATATAACTCAAAAGCAAGCACAATTTGATGCAAATAGATGTTTGTGACATATCCTCAAAATAGAGTTCTGACACGAAGAAGTAGAAAACTATGAAAACAAGGAGGCCATAAAGGCGCCCTACAATTGTAGGGACGACTGACGATACGGGCCTAAGTTACTATAGTCTTCGTTGCAGTGGTCGAATAGCAATAATAATATTTATTTATTACTTAAGCACAATATGAAAAATGAGTAAATAAATATGAAAAAAGGGCTGAACGGAGATTCTGCTTATACATGGACCGTTAATGTTGCAACTGGTCATACAAGATGTTAAAATTAAAAAAATGTTTTTTCGTAAATTTCTTTTACCTAATTTTGTTGTAATTTGGCGACGGTATTTATCACATCATGGAGCTAATTTAGCCCTCACTTCATTAAATTTATTAAGTCCAGTGGCGTCTCGGGTGGGAGCTGAACGAATATTTGTGACAAAAAATATACGCCACTGACTTTTGTGCATTTTCTATTATGTCCATGGATCAAGCAAATAGAAGTACAACCTTTTCATTTCTTGAATTTCTTTCGTATCCTGCTTAGTTTTTGAGAAAAAGAAAGTTCACTTAATTGCATGCCCCGGGACCACACAAGGAATATGGGGGAAAGTTTCTTTTGGAAATTATTATTTTTAATAATTTTTTATTACTAATTATGCAACAACAACAACAAATAATGACTGAATTAAATTATTAACATATAAACTAATGAATTTCACTAAGCTAAAGAATAGTAAATAATACTCAAGGGTTGCCTTGGAAAAAAATTGCAGCATTTAGACTGGATTATGTGACAGGGTCGCATAAAAGGAGAGTAAAGATAATTAAGAATTTGTACGAAAGTCCTTTGTTTATACAGGTTGTTAATTTAGCTTGTACCATACATTTACCAGACTATTCTTTGAGTAATTCTAAGTTCATATAAACATAGGTCTGCAAACTCTTCGTTATCAAGATACAGGGTGTTAAAATTAAAAAAATCCTTTTTCAAAAATTTCTTAAATCTTAATTTTTATGTTCTTTGAGTTGAGCAACTTTTTTCTCTTGCATTTTTTTCGTATCTTCATTGGTTTTAGAGAAAAAAAAATGGAGAAAGGTTTCTTGGGAATTATTTTTTTTAATTTTCAAATATGTAGCAACAATAAATACTAAATAGCATTCAATAAAACCGTTTAGCTACCTCATCACTGAATTACGCAGTCTCCTGAAAACACCTGGAATATTTTTTATTATGCCAGGTGAATTAATGATTCTATTTCCTGAATCCTCTGCACTTTCAGTAGGAGTTTTATGTACCAACGCTTTAAGGTTTAAGGTGTTCCCAGAGAAAATAATCTAAGGGATTCATATCGGGCGAGCGAGGGGGGGCCGTCGAACTTCTTTCAAAACTCCAGGTAAAACAAGTTCTAAAAACCTTCGGTACTCTTCTTCTGAATTGTTATTGTTGTGGAAGTTAATAATTGAATTGACAGAAAACAATATTCGACTCAGAAAACCTGGACTCCCTATCATTTAGCTGTGTAACCGATCAGAAAAAGCTTCTTCTTAAAGGCAAATCACAATAGACCTTGCACACGTTAGATATCATATGGATATAGTGGTCTCTTAAAATCTGCCACACTGTGACATGGGTAGTATTCAGTTCTTCAGCTATTTTCCGAGTAGGTGCTGGTATGATGATTTACTTCAATTTCATTTATAACAGCTTCTTCAATTCGAACTGTTCGTACCGTTGCAGGCCTGTGTCAGATGGAGACGTTCAGAAAATGTTCTATTAGGTATTTAATGAAGGAAATGATAAAGGTGCCTTGCAGCATTAGAGTTTTTTATGAGCCATTCCATAACAGAAATGCATATCTGTCATTTCGCCATTAGTTAATTGAACCACATTGGACAAAAAA